TAATATTAAGGTCATTTGTTATTATTGTCGTTGTCGATGTAAATGATGGTGATGATGATGACTATGCTGTTGTTATCGCTGCTGATGATGACGACGATGACGATGATTAAAAGTGCAAAGATAAAATAGAAGGGAACCTCCAATAGTTTATCAACGCTTTCTAAATGGATGTAGATCTTTCTATTATCGTCCTTGCTATTATCGCCACTGCCGGAAGAAACTTGAGCCATTGCAAATTTGAAAAAATAAAATTTTCAAAAGATGAAAAATAATAATATTATTAGTAGTAGATACAAAATCAATAAAACAACCAACCAACCATCCAATCAATCAACCATCCAACCAACTCAATCCAATCAACCAACCAACCATCCAATCAATCAACTCTCCAACCAGCTTAATTCAATCAACCAACCAACCATCCAATCAATAAACCATCCAACCAGCTCAATCCAATCAACCAGCCAACCATCCAATCAATCAACCATCCAACCAACTCAATCCAATCAACCAGCCAACCATCCAATCAATCAACCATCCAACCAACTCAATCCAATCAACCAGCCAACCATCCAATCAACCAACCATCCATTCAATCAATCGATAAACCAAACAAACAAACAAACTTTGTTGTCTCAAATCTTTCAACGCACTCTCCAATAGCTTCTGTTCGACTTCTATGTCTTTGTATTTGGCTTTCCATTCTATCAGTTCTTCGCTCATAATTTGAAGTTTCTTATTATTCATGTCATTGTTTATGTTATTTTTACTGTTGCCCATCAGCGCGTTATCTTTCTCTAAGGCAACGTAGTCTGGGACCTGATGATGATAATAATAATAATAATAAAATTATTAATAATAAAATTAATAATTATAATAAAATTGGTGATGGTAATGTTACAAAATAGAGATAATGATGATGATGATGACGACGACGACGATGGTGGTGATGATGATGATAACCTTAATGATATTTCTAATCGCGTCAATAAGCATTTGTTGTTGTTGTTGTTGGCTTTTATTCAAGGAAGTTTTTATTCCTTTATTTCCATCATCATCATCATAACCATTACCGACGCCGTCCTTCCATCCGTCTCTCATAAAATTAATGACGTCATCGATAAGGTCGATTTGATTGGTTGTTAAACCGGCTGTGATCACCCTGATTGGTCGGTTGGATGGTTGTTAATTGATGCGTTAGCTGATTGGTTGATTGTTAGATTGACTGATTGAAAAAGAAGAAGAAGAAAAAGAAGAAGATGATGATGATGTTATTGTGATGATGATTATGATGTTACTGTGATGATGATAATGATGTAATTTTGGTCATGATAATGATTTTGTTGTGGTGATAATGATGTTGAAAAAAATTAGTTTATACTTCTGCCCGGTTGATTGACACATGGATCTTATCTGATTCTTCAAATCAATCCGCTCGTCCTCTAACTTTTCAATCTTAAAATCAATCAATCATTCGTTCGTTCGTTCGTTCGTTCGTTCGTTCGTTCGTTCATTCATTCATTCATTCCAACCATACATTCAATAAATCAATCATTTGTCCTACAATCAACCATTCAATCAATCAAAATGAAATAAACAAAATGAGCAAATTAACTAATCAATTAGCATCTAAATTAGACTAAAAAATCAAAAAATACCTCTTTTTGAAGAACTCTGTTTAGGGCCTTATCTTTTTGAATACTCAAGCCCCGCCTATAAACGGATCCCTCAATTGCGATTGGTTGCTTGGGGTCCAATCCCAATCGTTCCCTCAGGTCTTCGGCCTCGTCGTAAAGGTCATTTAGAGTGATCTCGCATCTGCTAGCATACTGGGTCAGTTCTTCGATGTGCCTGTCATGATGATGATGATGAAGAAGAAGATGATGATGGTGGTGATGATAACGACAGTGACGATAATTATGATGATGACCTATCCTTATCTAGTATCTTTCCTTGCAATTGTTTCATTTCTCGCACAGCTTCCGGCAGACCGTATACACCCTGATGAATGTATTATTGTTGCTTTCGTTCACATGGCATAATTCGTTCGTTCATTCATCCATCTATCCACTCATTCATTTACTTATTCATTCATTCGTTCATTCATTTGTTCATTCATTCATTTGTTCGTTCGTTCATTCATTCATTCATTCACCTGTTCATAGAGTGACATTTTCTTGAGTAAGTCATTCATTTGTTGGTCTTTTATTATTGCGTCGTCTTCCGCCTAATAATAATAATAATAATAATAATAATAAATTCCATCATCATCATCATTATCATCATCATCATCATTCTTACCCCCATCATTATCATCTAGCAGCAGCAGCGCCATCATCTTCCTCATTTTTTAACAGAAAAACCCCATCATAATCGTCATCATCTTCACCATCGAAACAACATCATAATCATCATTACCATCCTATCGTAATCGTCATCATCGTCATCCTCCTCTTGTCATCATCATCATCGTCATCGTCGTCCTCTTACAGTTTTAACTCGTGCGTTAAGTTGTTCGATTATCTTATTCTTCTCCTCAATTCTCAACTCCAGTAGAGTCATCTTCTTAATCATCCCTTGTACCTCGTTGTTGTCTTCGTCAGGAAAATTATAAATAAGATAATTATAATAATAATAATTATAATAATTATAATAATAATAATAACCACAGACCGAGCCCCAGTGATTTTTTCCTCATGCTTTCCATAACCGCGGCGCTTTCATTCATTTCCATGCTCGCCTCCGTCAGTCTATCCTGCAGCTTCTGGATTTCTTCATCGCGTTCGCTTACCATCTTGTTATTATTAGTGTTGCGTTTATTATTATTATTTATTGTTGTCATCAGCAGCTACAGCAGCAGCCGCTGCAGCCGCCAGAGCAGTCGCCACAACAGCAGCCACAGCAGCAGCCACAGCAGCTTCATTACCTTTGTTAGTGCGTTAATGGAAGCCTTGTCAGAGTCGAGGTTGGTGGCAAATAGTTGTTCCCGTAATTTTGAAATTTGGGTCTGCAATTCTTTTATTACTTTGTCTTTTTCAAGTAGTATCAACTGGGTGTGTGTATGTATGTGTGTGTGTGCGTGTGTGTGCGCGTGTGTTCATTCATCCATCCTACCTTCCATTCATCAACTTTGGCGTTAACTTGCATTACAATCTCGTCGTCGCCTTCGTCCTTCTGCCTTATCTTCTCCAACAACTCTTCAACCTATCATGAAAATATTAATAATAAAAATAATAACAATAATAATATTAATTATTATTATTGTTGTTGCATATAATTAAAATTATTATTATTATAACCTGTGCTTTTAGTGATATATTTTCTGTTGAATATTTATTAAGGTCCATCTCATTATACAGAAGCAGTTCCTATTGGTCGGTTTTTAAGATAGCCGTGAATAAATTATGCTAATGAGGTTGATAGATGGATTAATTAATTCAATCATCGTTACAATAACCATCGTCATCGTCGTCGTCGTCATCTTCATACTCATATCTGTCTTATAATCACTGTACGCTAATAAGGTGACTATTATGGCATAAATTATGTTAATGAGAGGCGAAAACTTACCACCACCATCATCATTACCATCACCAAACCTTTAATTTAGCATATTCATCGGTGGTTTTTTCAATCTCCTTCATTCCTTCGGTCATTTCCTTTTTCATTCTCTCCATCTCTTCCTCCAACGTTTGATTGTAGTCGGCTAATTTCTTGTGGTGATGATTACGATGTCTATAATACACATACACACACACATGCACGCACACGCGCATACACACACAAATATACACACAAAAAGATTGAGAAAAAGAAAGAGAAAGAGAGAGAGAGAGAAAGAGAGACATACGTACAATTCCAACAAACCTTAAAAAGAGAGAGAAAGAGAGAAAGAGAGAGAGAGAGAGAGAGAGAGAGAGAGAGAGAAAATACGTACAAAAATTCCAGCAAACCTTATTTTCATCAAGGGCTGCATTCAGTAGAACGTTCTTACTCTTAATTTTCTCACTCAACTGCTGGTCATCGTCGTACCTCATGAGGATACTTTCACGCTGGGCGTCTGACTGCCGCTGCAAGTCGCGCAGATCGTCGCGTAACTGGCTGTTCTAAAAATTTGGCTTGAATTCTTCATTATTTTTCCAATAAATTAACATATATTATCATAAAGTTTTCATGGATAACATAATTTTTTTTTAATGTGGTTAATTTCAGTATAGTTGTTCTTTAAAATAACATAAATTTTCAAAAGATATATGTGTGTATAGAAAAAGTTAAACACAAAAAGGAGAGGCAAAGAGAGAGAGAGAGAAAGAGAGAGAGAAAGAAAAATTAGAACAAAGAAAGTGAGAGAAAGAGAAAAACAAAGACAAAGAAAGACAAAGAGAAAGAGAGATTTAAAAATAACTAAAATAAAATAAGAACTAAAATCCAACATCTATTTTTAGCTCCTTAACGTTTCTTTCATATTCTTCGCATTGTATTCTTAGCTGTTTAAATCGTGAATGAATGAGTGAATGAACAACTAAGTGAACGAACGAAAGAACGATTGAATGAATGGATAAAAGAATGAATGAATGAATGAATGAATGATCAAAAAAAAAGACATAAACCCCATCAAAAAACCTTTTCATTACTCCCTCTCTCTTCATTTAATTTTGAAATGGTATCTTTAAGGTCATTATGTAGAACCGAAATCTGCTGCTCCAATTCATCAATCGTCTCCCTGAGATTTCGTTCTTCGAAGACCGTTGATGACGCTGGGACACCTTTCATTTGCTAGTTTATATCATTTAGTATCGCCATCATTATTGCCATTATGACGAACTAGTTAAACGGTTAAGGCGTGTGTGTGCGTGTGTGCACGTGTGTGTTTGTGTAAAGCGTGTGTGCGTGCGTGTGTTTTGTTTGTACTTCTGGAAGATTTAAAAAAAACTAACAATAATATGAATAATGTAGTTGCTGTTTGTGTTGCTGTTGTTATGATAATTTATTATTTTATTTTATTGTCTATGTAATGTTGAAAAAATAGGCGAAAATAGATGAACATCTACTTCTAATTCTTTGTTCTTTTTCCTCAAACTTTGTAACTCGAACTTTAAATCTTCCAGTTCTTGATCTTTGTTATTTTTTTTTAAATTTTAAATAAATTTATATAAAAGTAAACAACAAAGTAATTAATAATACGAAGAATTATGAAAATTAGTTGGACGTCTTTCTCAATCAATTCGAATGAGGATGTATTAAAACAGTCCGGTTATGAAAAGATGAAATTACTAGAGATAATCCGACGGGGGCAGTTAAAGTTTTTTGGCCACATCATGTGGAAGGAAAAAATGGAAACTCTAACAACTACTGGAAAGATTACAGGGAGAAGAGATGGCGGTCAACAACGAACAACATTCGTGATGTGTCCTCGTGTCACTTGTTGAATATCACCACATTTCAATTCTTACAAAGTGTTAAAGATCGCGTTTCATGGAGGTCCATGGTCGCCAATGTCCTGAAAAGATGAAGCACAAGAAAGAAGAAAAAGAAATAAAAAGTTATAATGCATGTGACACGAAATGACGTAATTGTTAGGTCATCAAGTTAAAATGACGTCATAATCGTTAAACGCGGATTCCGACATATAATCTATTTACATAATAAGAAATTGACATCACGATAATTAAAAAAATTAAACAGATGATGATGACATCATCTTAACTAATCATTAGATAATGTAGATCAAGATGCAACACAAAATATATTATAGCTGGATCAGTGACGCAATTTCTTTTTTCGACTTTCTTACTTCTTTGGGCCGTCTTCTTGCCATCTTCACTGGCTTGTTCTTTCAAATGGTTGACCATTTCTTCCACTTCAACGCCTTTAACTATGAGAACTGCTTGCGTTACTCTGAATAGTTTGGTCAGTTTATCTGGATCGGTTTCGCTCTTTGGGTCAAACTATAATTTTTAATTAATATAATTAATTATTATATAATTATATATATATATTATTATATAATTAAATGTATATATATATATAATAATAATTAGATAATTAAATATTATGAAATGATAAGCAATAGTTTTTGTTTTACATTGAGAGGTTTTAGAAAAAATGGTTTTAGTAGATTGATGATTGGATGAATGAATGAATGATTGATTGAATGAATGAATAAACAAATTAATAAATGATTGAATAGATCAACTAGTGAATGAATGAAAACCTCAATTAAAGAATTATACAAATCCGTAGAATCATCATCCCCAATCGAATCAACATTTATTTTCATCAAATTCTCCCAATTTAATGGGGGAGCCATTTTAAAATTTGAAATTCAGCGCTGAATAAATCAAATAAAATACAATAACTAATTTATTCAAATAAACATTTTAAATAAATTAAATTATTATTAAACGAAAAGAATTTATGAAGAAATAAATTCGAAAATTATTTGTTTACACAGTGTCAACTGGTTGCTATGTACGTTGCTAGTCAGCTGTGTCGATCTTTTGGAGCGCTCAATTTTTTCATATTAATCGAAACATAATTACCATCAAATGTATGAAGAAATACAAATGTATAAATTTTGTTGTTATGACTATTATTCTTATTTTGATTTGTTAATAAAAGTGTTATTAATGATGTGTGTTAACCTCATTCATCCACTGAGTTACAATATTTAACAGCACAATCAAAAGTATGAGACTTATAAGAAAAATAAAGTACACGTTTTTTGACGAGCTAAATGTTATTGAAATCGTAAATGACATATTTTTCAGCACAAGTTGATGAGATTCGAGATTGGAAACTTGTGTTAGCCACGAAACTATGAAAATATCTCAACGAAAAATTAAAGGAAAATGATTCACCGCCGTACATTAACTTCAACAAAGGCAAAATTTTCAAATGGTTTTGTACTTCGTAACCATTTTCAAGAAAGTGAACGTCATTTTTTTTCTCAAAATCCAAGACCCAATTATGCCTATCAACTCTATCACTGCCAGTGTCTCTAAACCGATTGGGGATGTTGCTACTGCCACCTATCGATCAAAATACTTAAAAGAATTTGATCTAGATGCCAACATTTTTCTCTCTTTAAAAAAAAAATGATAATTAAATTCTTAAATTTATTTGAAATAATGAATGAATGTTTTTTTTCGTTTTTCAAATTTCAAAAATAATAGTTTCAAACGGACTTTTCAATAAATCGTTGGCAACTGGTGAAAGAAATACCATCAGATTGGAAAGATGCAATCACAGTGCCACTCTTCAAGAAGGAACGAGATCGTTGCGATCCAGGAAATTATTGATCAATAAGCCTTACAAGCACTGCATGCAAGGTACTAGAAAGAATAATTAAGAAGATAATTGTGAACCACTTGGCAAAAAACGATATCATACACAAGAGCCAACACGGTTTTATGGATAGGCGTTCGGGCCTAATAAAGTTGCTTGGCTTTTTGAAAATTTGAACAAAATGAAAGCAGCGGATATTGTGTACTGAGATTTTACTAAGGCTTTCGATAAGGTACAGCATAAACGTTTGACCTTAAAATTAGAAGCAAGTGGAATCACAGGAAACACACTCTAGTGGATTTCTAACTGGTTACAAGATAGACGGCAAAAAGTTGGCATTGGAGGCAGTTTTTCAAACTGGAGCAATGTTACAAGTGGGCTTCCTCAAAGCATCCGTATAAGGCCTTTGATATTTGTAATATACCTACATCAGTGATATTGATCTAAGAATAAAGTCTAAAATTTCAAAATTTGCAGTTGACACCAAATTATGTGTTGTTGTAGGCAACGATGAAGATATTGAAATTCTAGCATGAAATTTGCAAAAAATATGCAAATGGGCAGAAGATTGGCAGATGGTATTCAACACTAACGAAGGTGCAGTCATACACGTGGGAGCGAACAACAAGGCAAACGTATTCAAACTTGGAGACACACCACTAAAAATTAAGAGGAAAAGAAAGATCTAGAGGTGATAATTCATCGGAATGGTAGGGTAGGGCGTCAATGCATCGAGGCAGCTAAAAGTGCAAATAGGACTCTGGGTATGAGGAAAAGAACTGTAAACAGCAGAGATATGATCGTCACATTAAACCTATATAAAGCATTGGTTCGACCTAAGTTGAAGTACTCAGTACTGTGTTCAGCTTTGGAATCCAGATTTACAAAAGGACAAACATATATGCTTGAGAATATTCAATGAAGGGCAACGAGAATGATAAAGTAGTGTTGCGGTATGCCATATGAAGACAGATTAAAAGTTTGTGGATTATCCACATACAATCACACACACACATACAATAATACACACACACACAAACAAACACACAGACAAACATGTAAACACATACAAACAATCATACACTAATATACAATATGCATTTTACAAAAACATACCACCATACACACACATACAATCATAGAAGACCCAGAAACGCAGAATACAATCATACACAAACATCATCAAACAAACAAGCACACAAAGAAACACACAGACAAACGCACACAATTATACACACACAATCAAACACACAAATACAGCACAAAAGCACACAACACACACACAAAACACACACTCACACATACACATCAAATTACATTAGAAGTCCAAACTCGCGTTATACACACTCCCGCCATATCGACATTTCCCCGGAGACCGAACTCTCAGTACAAAAAACGAAACATAAGAAGGGTGGATCGCAACTCTAATGACTTAGCTTGCGCTTCCGTTCCGCCATTTTTATTCATTCTCTCTTCTTTTCTCTCTCTTTCTCTCTCTATTTCTCTCTTTTTATTTCTTTTTTATTTTTTCTCTTTCTTTTCTCTTTCTCTTTCTTTCTTTCCTTTTCAATCTTTCTATTTCTTCCACTGTGTCTCTCTTCAATCTTTTTTTCTTTCTTTTTTTTTCTCTCTCTCTCGCTTTCTCTCTCTCTCTCTTTCTCTCTCTCTTTTTCTCTTTCTCGCTCTCTCTCGTCTCTGGTTGCCATTGTGTGCCATACGTCGCGGACATTTAATTATTTTTGGGCTGGATGGCTGGATGTATTTTGCTGCTGTTGATGTTGATGATGCTGCTGGTGGCGATGATGATGATGATGGTGACGATGGTGGTAATGGTGATGATGGTTGGAATGATGAAAATGATGATGATGGAAGATGATGATGGTGACGATTATGTTTATGATGTTAATATTTGCTTAAACAAAAACACACACACGTACACACACACACACATACACACACAGAGACATACACCTACATACACATACACACACACACACACACACACACACACACATAAGTTTCAAACACGCGCCCGCATGCATCTTACTGTCATAAAGATACAACTCAATTTAAAAAAAAAGATTGAAAAGTTAAGTTACAATCATTTGAATATTTAAGAAAAATCACTAAACCAATTCACCATAACTGAACATTGCAAAAGAATACAAAGCAATACAAACACATAACAATAAAAACAATAAAAAATAGTAATAATAATAACAATAATAAAAGCAAACAACCAGACTCAATAACCGTAATGGTCGATTGGTTGCTGAAAACATTGCATCACAAGTCAATGATGGGATTACGCTATGCGTCTTTCCTTCTTATCCATCCAAGAACATTTTTTGTATATATACAAAGTTTTGTATGTATGCAAAGTTTTGTATTGAATACAAACTTTTTATATACAACAATTCGTTTATTGATCATTTTTATATTGTATGAAAGTCTATTCTGTCTAAAGATAAATTTTGCTGTTGATTTAAAATTTTTTGAATAATACAAACTTTGTATATACAAACAATATACGCATACAAAATTTTGTACATCCATGTTATACGTATAAACAAACTTTTTGCATGTATTTTAGCTATCTAAAGCAATCCTTCAGAAAAAAAACACATACCGAATTAACAAAAACAGCACACAAATATACACATACATAAACACATACATACATACATACAAACAAACACACATACATACACATATAGATGTATATATACATATACATACGTACACAAAAACTAACATACATACATACATACAAAAAAACATACAAAACAACCGCAGACAATTGAATTGTAATCTGAATAATCCAACAACAGCACAAGATTGATGGCCCGCTGAAGACATTATCAAATATGACAGAACACACATGCAAACATACAAACATATACACACATGCAGACACACACACACACACACACACACATGCAAACACACACATACAACCACACATACAAAGACACACACGCGCACAAACATAAAACATATTAGGAAACTATCTCAACTCAATACATCACATCGAGCCTTGCATAAATTTAACACTGCCTGAACAAACATAAATAAAACCATCTATTGATAGAGACATAAATATATACCGAGAAAAAACAAGGGAGAGACAGAGAAAAAAGAAGGAATGTACGAAATAGATGAAAAGAAAGAGAGAGAGAGAGAGAGAGAGAGAGAGAGAGAGAGAAAGAGAGAGAGAGAGCAAGAGTGAGAGAGACAGAGGAAGGAATAAAGAGATAAAAAGAGACAAAATGAGAATAAGGCAAGAAATGAGATATAGAAAAAGAAAAAGAGAGCCATGAAAAAAAGTTTAAATAAAAGAAAAAAAAGAAAGAAAAAGAAGAGAGAGAAGGAGAAAAAAGTAAAAACAGAGAGAGAGAGAGAGAGAGAGAGAGAGAGAGAGAGAAAGAGAGAGAGAGATTGAAAAAAAACAAGATTCATTGAAAATTTCTGCACATAATTTAACAGTATCGTTAGTTATACCTACAATATAATACATTGTATATATACTAGAGAAATTTGTCTTCTGCTATAAATGAATAAGTGCACACACAAACAATCACACATAATAACACACACACACAAAAACACACACACACATTCAAACAAAACCTGAAACATGTGTGCTCCACATTTGATTACATACTCATCCCAATAGATTTTTTGATTGATGGATTGATTGACGGGTTGATTGATTGAATGAATGAACAACTTGTGATTGATTGAATGAACGATTGATTGATTGATTGGATGGTTGGCATACTGATTGATAGTTTGGGCGTCACATCATTTTGTCCATAGTGTAAATAATGTGAGTTGGGTTTGTTTTATTGGATGGGCTATTGATTGATTGATTGAATGGCTGGTTGAGTGATTGAAGAGTTAGTTAGTTGATTGAAAACCTGGTTTGAAAATTATATAGCTGGTCGATTGATTGAGTTATTACTTGATTGGTCGGTTAATTTAAAACTTCGTACGATCGATTGACTAAACAACTGAAATATC